AGGTTTGAATTTGAGATCGGCAGACACAGTCAGTCAAGGATGAGGAGTGTCTCCCAGTGCTCACAGACTCACAAGAAAATCCCAGCCTACACGGAGTCTCTCAGCAGCAGCTGACTGACTGGTTTTGGCAATGGAGTTGGTGTCTGGTATGACAAAAATCTTAGACAGCTGTAGTAGTTAATGGACTAGAAAACTGAATTGCTCTGTCTTCATCCTTGATGCTAAGCCTGCCTCTGTTGAAGTTAATGGTTATTTTTGCCATGAAACCTATGGGAAGTAGCAAACACACACGCTATTCATGCAAGGTTGCTGTATTGTATATTCAGTTTCTTAATGGACAAATTTCCAGGTTGGTAAAATTTCAAATAAGCCATTCCAAAATGTGTCTGAAAAGCGTGGGCAAATATTTGCTATGTGGCTGAAGTGTGTGAATAATCTGGCTATGAAAAACGCTTGCATATGCAAGCTGACACAACGTGTCATCACCTGTTAACACGCTGGCAAACCTCACGGCTGGGGGAGTGAGGTTGTGTTTCATGTTCCTCTAAGTGATTGCTTTCTCTGACTGAGTGGGCAAGCATAGTTTTGCAAGGCTAAAGACCTACATTATCCATTTAGATTACAAAGGTCAAAAAGCTGTGCAGCATCCCTACCAGATCCATCCGCACTGGGGTCCACTTTTGCTTGTGGTATGAAGAAAAATCTTTTGAAGGAAAACTGAATTTCTGGTACTGGTGGTTCGTCTTCTGTAATAGAGATGATTTCAAGACTTCCACTACTGGGATTTGTCTCTTGTACCTGACTCAATCAGAGAAAAAAGGGAAAGAAAAAAAAAAAAGGAAGATAATCACCTTGTAGAATGTTGTCATAGAATCATAGAATAGTTTGGGTTGGAAGGGACCTTTAAAGGCCATCTAGTCCAACCCCCCTGCAATGAGCAGGGACATCTTCAACTAGATCAGGTTGCTCAGAGCCCCGTCCAACCTGACCTGGAATGGTTCCTGTGCTGAGGACTCCACTGTTGGACACAGTACATTAAGTTATGTACTTAATGTTCATGAGAGGAGCCCTTATAAGTAATTTACCAGCAAACTACTGAAGTTAATTTTTGTTCAAATTTATCTAAGCACCATAGCTTAGTTTAATAACTGACATCGGGGGTGTGAATCCGTCTCCTGCTCTTTAATTGCAATAGGAAACCAGAGAAAGACTAGAAAGCCTGTGACACCTGCACAGCACCTGACAGGATCCTCATGCAGGGGCCCACTGAATTTTACTACGGAAAACTTTTGATCACTTTCTACACAGTGAAAAACAATGTAAATAGGCTACACTAGAATTCAGGGTAAATAGATTTGAAGTGCTAATTTCTAACTCCAGTTCTGCACACTGTCACTGGCAAAAGGAATCAGATTTTTGAACTCACAGAAATAGGTCCAGGTTTGTTAAAGACAGTGTAGCTGGTGAGATGTAAAAGCAGTGTAAGTGTTTGCAGAGTCAGTTCCAGAAAATGCTTATAATAACACATTTTAGGCAAAGAATATGTGTTTTGTCTATGAGACTGTGTCTTTAAGTCACCTGGAATCTTTTCACCTTTCAGCAGACAACTGCAGTGAGGTTTCTTCTCTTTCATTTGATGAAATTTCATGTACATTTCAATGAACATAGATTAAATTTTATATAGGATCTGCTAGCTTTAAGGCAGAGAAAAGGACAGCTTGCTGTGCATGATTGTTAAATATTTAAAAAAAGCCATTCTAACTGGTACATAGGTTGTCCATCAGGAAACAACACAGCGTTGTGAAGTATACTACACGAAAAATAAACACTGATGTGTCGTTTATTTAGAGGATCTCACACGCTCCCAAAGCTTCACTCACCTCTTCCTGAGAAGTCATAGTTAAAAGCAAAGCTGTTTTCTTTCTTCATTATCGAAAGAAACCAAAAGGAAATTCTGAGGTTGCTAAGCCGGTCTGTTCTGGAAAGGTTCCCACCGAGCCTCCCGTGGCCGCCCGTTCAGCCATCGGTTGCTTTCGGCATTATGGCAGCAGCCTCTGTAATTCAACCTGGCGAGGGGTATCGGGTAGCCCCAGAGGGCACGGCTATGGACGGGGGAAGATAAAAATTCAGCGCACTTTTTAATTAGCCTAAGAGCATCAGGCAAAGTTGTAGTACTCCTGTAAGCCCTCAGCAAAGGAGCACCACAAACCGCACAGGCTCGAGCTCGCTCGTCTTTTATCAGAACTCCTGCAGCTGAGAAGAGGAGCCCACCGATAGCGGTGGGTGGCAGAAGGCAGAAGCCCCGTAGGCTCACCTTGCTCTCCCTTCACTTGGTCTAGCCTTTGTTGTGCACGTGCAGCAAAGAGCACATTTAAGAGAAAAAGACCCACGCTTTAGTTATGGGTAGCTTTATAATTAAATGTTGCGCATTATTTTGGAAGTACTTTGCGAGCAGTAACTCACGTTTCCGAAGTATCAACTCATTTGTACCCTGGGATTTAGAAAATGAAAATGCATGCTCAGCTTCATAAAATGCTCAAGGGTAGTAATAATTTGGTTTGTTTTTTTTTTTTTTTAACGAAGAAGAGAGAGTAATGACAGAGGGGAAGGTGAAGGGAAGAAGGAGGAGAAGAGATGAAGAAAAAAACCAAAACAGTGTAAGTGAAACAGGCTCCTGAGAGGCCGGGGAAGAAATGAAGGTTTTCCATGACAATACCCATGTCCCTGGAACATGGCTGCGATAAGGAAAGCTTTTCAGTCCCTTTGCTATGCATGATGGAAACTGGCACTTCCAAAGGAGAGGACGTCACATCACGATCCTGTTAACTGTTCACATCTATCATAGAATCACAGAATGGTTTGGGTTGGAAGGGACCTTAAAGATCATCTAGTTCCAACCCCCCTGCCATGGGCTGGGACACCTTCTACTAGACCAGGTCGCTCAAAGCCCCATCCAGCCTGGCCTTGAACACTTCCAGGGATGGGGCATGCACAGCTTCTCAGGGCGACCTGTTCCAGTGCCTCACCACCCTCATAGTGAAGAATTTCTTCCTTATATCTAATCTAAATCTATCTTCTTTCAGTTTAAAGCCATTACCCCGTGACCTATCACGGCATGCCCTTGTAAAAGTTCCTCTCCAGCTTCCTTCTAGGCCCCCGTTAGGTACTGGAAAGCTGTTGTAAGGTCTCCCCAGAGCCTTCTCCAGGCTGAACAACCCCAACTCTCTCAGCCTGTTCTCATAGGAGGGGTACTGTAGAATGCTGATGATCTTTGTGGCCGTTCTCTGGACCCACTTCAACAGGTCCATGTCCTTCTTCTGTTGGGGGCCCCAGAGCTGGACACAGGACTCCAGGTGGGGTCTCACCAGGGCGGAGAAGAGGGGCAGAATCCCCTCCCTCGACATGCTGGCCATGCTGCTTTGGATGCAGCCCAGGATACGGTTGGCCTTCCAGGCTGCGAGCACACATTGCTGGGTCATGTTGAGCTTCTCATCAACCAACACCCCCAAGTCCTTCACCTCAGGGCTGCTCTCAATGCATTCTCCGCCCAGCCTGTATTTGTGCTTGGGATTGCCCCGACCCATGCACAGGACCTTGCACTTGGCCTTGTTGAACTTCATGAGGTTCACACGGGCCCAACTCTCAAGCCTGTCAAGGTCCCTCTGGATGATATCCCTTCTCTCCAGCATGTCAACCGCATCACACAGCTTGGTGTCATCGGCAAACTTGCCGAGGGTGCACTCAATCTCACTGTCCATGTCACCAACAAAGGTGCTAAATATCACTGGTCCCAACAGCAACCCCTGAGGAACACCACTTGTCACTGGTCTCCATTTGGACATTGAGTTGTTGATCACAACTCTTTGATAGCGACCATCCAGACAATTCCTTATCCACTGAGTGGTCCATCTGTCAAATCCATGTCTCTCCAATTTAGAGATAAGGATATTGTGTGGAACAGTGTCAAAAGTTTTGCACAAGTCCAGGTAGATGATGTCAGTCACTCTTCCCTTATCAACTAATGCTATAACCCAATCGTAGAAGGCCACCAAATTTATCAGGCATGATTTGCCCTTAGTGAAGCCCTGTTGGCTGTCACCAATCATCTCCTTATTTTCCAAGTACCTTTCAGGAGACCAGCAGCTCAGGTGACCCTTTAGGTCCACAGGATGAGATGTCCTGTCCTCCCCAGGCAGCAATGGTACCTTCAATGAGGACAGGACAGGCCTGAGAAAGTTTTCTCCAACCATTTCACCTTCTCTGTCCATGCTGGAAACCCTGGGGACCAGCCAGTGCAGCTCTGTAAAGGCTCCCGTGGTGTGACTGGCACAACTGTAAAGGACAGGCTTCTCCCTGCTGTCACCTTGAGCTGTTCCAAGCCCCGCCTCAGAGCGCGATGTCTAGATGGGACATTGGGTTTGACCTTGCACAGCTGGCTGGCTCATCACCTTTGGCTGAGAAGACCAAAGCAGGTTCCATGTACAGTAGGGATGAGAGGATATGAAAATTGAGCCCAAAAGGAAAGAATTTGGCCTACAGACTGACTTCTTACGTGCTGCAGGACATCCCCACTCACCTCCCCCACGCTGCAGTAGCAGCTCAGGTGGATATCTTGGCTTTCAGAAGACAATTTAAAATGAAAGGCTACAAGATCCCACCTCAGACCCTTCAGTGAGTCCACCCTGACTGTGGTGTTTACCTTTGGACTACTAGTCTTGTTCTGCTGGGGCGGATGGGAAAAGCTGGCAGATAGCTTTTGCTTTTTTAGCTATCCTAAAACAAAAATTCAGAGATGCAGATGCTACGAAAACAGGATGTTGGCTTTTGTCAGAAAAGATCATAAGAGGTTTGAGGGTTTTTTTATTTT